ACTCTAGTTATGCCCACACCATGGATCATGGTCAGTCCTGCTTCCACGTTGTAATGCTGAATCTGTAATCTACAATTTTTAACAACCCAGTGGTATATGGGATCATTCTCTTCATGGGTCTTGCTTCGGCTGATCCGAAGTGAGTTGGTCTTCATCAGCGTTGGTGTTGGCCTCCTCGGCCGGTTGGTCGTCAATCCAGTTGTACAGCAGCACTGCATCGGCCATCTTTCTGTCCCAGGGGCCGCTCAGCCATTGCTTGACGGCATCTCGGGTGACTTCCTTGGGCTCGACGGTCTGAGGCTCTTCTGTCACAGGGTGAGCTTGCGTGACGGCTCCATCGTCCGCGGTCGCTTGCTCCGATGTCACAGACTGGAGAGGATGCTCGTATCCTAGCCAAATGCCTGAGTCAAGAGGCTTGCTAGCGATGATGTAAGGCATCGGGATCAGACTGTGGCTGGATGGTGCGTCTTGTTGTGAAAGCAACTGGACAACCCTTTCGGGCGCGCCGAAGCCATATTCGCAATGCCCTAGACCGCATACCACCAGAACCACGTTGACGATCGGTTGACCTGCATCGCTCGACTCGCCTTCCGCGGGGGGCAAAGGCTGTTGACTGGGATGGGTTGACGCTTCGACCGCATTCGATGACGAGTCGTCAGGCAGCTTGTTTGCGGCTGTGACCTCCTGTCGAGCTCCTCGTAGAATCCACGCCGTGACATGGGCTAGGTAGGAGTCTTTGAGAGCTTGTGCCGGACCAAAGCCTTTGGTCTCGATGTTATGAGGCTTTAGCAGCCAAGTCGGGTATATTGGTGAATGCCTTGTTGCTTCGCAGTTACTTTGCTCCGTTATGCTGCTCTGCTGTTTTGAATCTTCGGCTACTGAGGCTGGAAGCTGCGGGAAGCGCGGTGGCAAGTCAGGTCGCATGAGTCCAGAAAGATAGCTACGGTGGGCGGTACTGATCTTGGTCACCGAATTCCAAGATGTGAACAGTGGCGATTGTATGAACGACCTTGGGGCAGTCCTCGGTGGAGCTGGGCGATCTTCTTCACCCTGCGTTAGAGAAGCCTCAGTCTGCGTTGCTGCACCAACACGTCTCTCTTCATCTGGCTTGACAGCATCAACTCCATCTCTGAAGACTTGCCTTGCCCATTGCCTCGGCGGGAAGCCGCCCCAGATGGGCACGTTGAGCTCTTTTGCCAGCATCAGTAGGGGCATGTATTGTCCGATATGAAATGATTCTTCACTCTGGGCCTGATATGTTTCCGCAAGCTCGTCCGGGCCAAGCTTGCCCTGCGAGAAGGAGTTGAGCATGTCTTGATCTAGCACTGAGAAGTGCTCGAGAACAAGATGGAGGCGATAGACTGGCGTTCGTGCTGAAGCTGGCTTCTGAGCGCAAGTTGTCTCGGCTTGCTCCGATGCCGAGTTGCCACCCGTTGTGATCCGAGGACTCGATGAGAACTGGCATTGCTGATGAAGTTCATGCAGAGTCTGTAGTTGAGCCCTCATCACTTCAGGCTGATGGTGTTGCTCGCCGAAGAAGACCAGCCGCGGCGGCGGAGTAGCCGATACGATCGAAGAAGTGCCGGTGGCGGGGCTGCGGGCCTGAAGATAGTCGGATCCCTCCGTTGAAGCCCTCTGTGATTTCCGCTTAGAGACCCATAGCGCCTCAAACGAGTCGAGTAGATTCGATGGTACCGGCAGTAACTTGTTCCATTCGATGTATGATGCATTGCTAGGGATTTCCGGCTCCTCGGGTGATTCTACCTTGCTAGGTGGCTCTGTGTTTGACGACTCGGCTTTGCTAGATTCTCCAAGTTCCACATTGGCTGCCTGAGCGGGCAAGGAGAACGAATGTCGGTAGGTCGGGATGTTGCTGGTCAGAAGACGCGGCTTGGTGAAGCGCGGGATGAAGCGTGCAATCGACATGCTTCTGAGCGGTGCCTCGCTGTCCGTCTTCTTCTCGTTGTTCTGACCTGACTCTGCGGAAGCCATGGTATCGGCTTTATTCTGCTGAGAGCTTGAAGCTCCTAGCTGGTCATAGTGACTGTTGTGAAGTAAGTGATGGTTGCTTTTCTGATCACAACAACGAAGAGAGAGCTCAAAATGGACCTTTTCAGGGTCCGAATTGCTCCACCTTGCAGAATTCACCGAAAGGCGTTAAATTCTTTGTTAGATTTCGCGATTTTGTTTTCCAAGCCCAGCGCCACACAAAAAGCTGCGTCGAAGTTGAGAATATAGACACCACTTTGTTGAGGCGACGATGAGGCTCCCTTCGTACAGGTGTGTAGCAACTGCAATGCTTTATGTATTCAAGTGGACCAAGGCTACAAATATGAGTATATATATCTTCACATTGTCTCTGAGAACATCGAGCAGGCTTAGATAAGTCGAGTGTCTCTCCTGCAGAGCTCCTGAGCCGTTGACATGGCAACCTTGATGCGTTTCACGTGTCTAAATAAACTCGTAAATAAGCGGCGTTCGCTTTCACCAGCTTCGCCCT